TCTGTCCCTGCATAAGTACTACTGTGTTTTTAATTATTGAAGCTTTATAATACAATTTAATATCTGGTACAAAACATTCCTCCTCATTATTCTTTTTCAAAAACTTTGGCAGTGTCTCACACTTTTATTCTCCTAGATGAAGTTTAGACTAATTTCCCAGCATTTAATGAATTAAAGAATACTGTTGGGACTTTGTTTTCTTGGAATCGTTTTAACTTTGTAGACAAGCTTGGGGAACATTGGCATTTTTACTTTGAGGGTTCATATCCAGGAATGTGCTGTTTTTCCACTTACTCAGATTTTCCTGTGTCCTTCAGCAACATTTTATAGTTTTCTTCCCATAGATCCTTCCCAAACTGTTTTAAGTTTGTTCCTATATATGTTATACTTTCTTCTTGCTGTGTGAGTGAGTTTATGTTCTCTGAAAGGTGGCTCTCCAGGTTGATTATGGAAGGAATATTATAAAAAGATTATAAAAGGAATATTATAATGCTATAGTGGCTTATAGTAATAAGCCTTCTGCAGAGGAAGCTAAGACTGAAAGTGCAGCCATATATGGAGTACTGTTTTGTGTCAGACCATGGTGGCAGTCACCATACGCACAGTGGCCCTCAAGCAGATCGAGTCAGCCGTGTGCTACCTGGGGAGACACTCATGCTGTACCAAGTTAAGTAATTTGTTCAAGATCAAATGGAGTAAGTGACAATGCCAGTATTCCAAACCTTTATGTTTTATCACTACACTAATATCAACGTTTAGGTAGTGGAAATTGTGTTTTCTGAGCTGGGCTCTAGTCTAACCTGAAATGATATATTGGAAGATGACTTTCTTATATTTCTATAAAGTCAGTATATGATTTCCTTATGCTGCTATATCAGGCCATATTCAAAAATTAAAGAGATCTTTATGTCAAAAACGAACTTTATAACTTTGGTGGGGGGGGGGGGTCGGGTAGGGGGGGTAATGGGAACGGATGGGAAGGGGATATAAAGGAGGAGGCAACAATACTTGATAAGAAATGCACTCGTTATCTTGCCCATGTAATTGTAACCTCTCTGTACGGTATTTTCACAATCAAAAAAAATCAAAACAAATTAAAGAGATCTTTAGTGATCCAGCAGGCAAAGCTTGTCAAGGTTCATAACCTAGGTGCAGAACAGTATGGCTCAGCTCCAAAATAGGCAGTTTAGAAGCAGGAGGGAGCCAGCACTTGGCACAACCCTTTTCTGTCAGGGCTGGGAACTGAGAAGCCATTGGCAACAGAAAGAAGATGGTCTTAGGGAGAAGTGGTGGTAGGAAAGACAAGAGGAGGGATCAGATTAAGATACTAGGTGGCACCAGGGGCTCACGCCTGTAATCCTAGCTACTCAGGAGGCTGAGATCTGAGGATCACGGTTCAAAGCCAGTCTGAGCAGGAAAGTCCAGACTCTTATCTCCAATAAACCACTAGAAAACTGGAAGTGGCACTGTGGCTCAAGCGGTAGAACACTAGCCTTGAGCTGAAGAGCTCAAGGACAGCGCCCAAGCCCAGAGTTCAAGCCCCACGACCGACAAAAATAAAAGAAAACTAGGTGGCTTACTGTTGACAATCTGTAGCAAGATCCCTTCTAGTTCCCTGAGAGGAATTAGAGGTGGGTTAAAATGGGGCAGGGACTCAGAAGTAATCTTTGGTAGGTGCTTGTGCTGCTTGCTCTTGATCTGGGAGTTTTATGGATACTCAAGGCTGGCTAAAGAATTCCAGATCCCAGGATAGTGTGTGTGTGTGTGTGTGTGTGTGTGTGTGTGTGTGTGTGTGTGTGTGTGTGTGTGTGTGTGTGTGTGTGTGTGTGTGTGTGTGTGTGTTGGGCTGTCTCAGGGTTGAGGGTTATCAGTAGGAATCTGTTTGCTTTCTTATCTGGTACAGGGGTCAAACTTAACTGCTTAATATATATTTCTCCCTCTGTGATTGGCCCAGGCAATAGTATGAATGGGACAGGACAACCATCAGGCTCCAGCAATTAGACACCCAATGGTTAAGGCAGGCACCGCCAAAGGCAAAAGTTAGCTTTGAGTGTCTGCAAAAATCCAGAAAGAATTCAGAGCCTAATTTTGTAGAACTAAAAAAAAAAACAAAAAAGGACTGACTAAACAGGTACTACCCTCAGCTTCAATTAGTCCAAAGCCTTATTTCTAGTTGTACGCTGGAAGAATTCTTTGGAAACCCACATTTAGGTAGTGAAAGCAGTGTTTTCTGGGCTGGGCTCCAGTACAACTAGAAATGATGATGCATTGAAAGATGACTTTCTTATATTTCTTATCAGTAGACAAACTTCCTAAAAACTTTACATACTCATATCTATACACATACCACATCATTAAAAGACTAATATGCACTGTTCTGAGTCATGCAGTCTTTGCAGCCAACAAGCAGGCTGATAGATGTCCAAATGTAATTTTAACTTTGAACTTTTTCTCTCAACTTGAAAACTAGTCTACAGACTTTACAGTGAGAACACATAAGTGGCAAGTCACTAATGTAACCATAGAAGTGACTATACTTCCTCAAAGTGTTTCCAATAACACAATATGTTCTAAAGAATACTGTCCAAGGTTAACATTTTCACATAGCTCCTGATGTTCTAACTGGCCCCCCTGCAGCAATGGGAGGGGCAGCCTGCTAGTGTTGATGTAGGTCTTTGCTTGTGGCTCTTCCACTTGGACAGGAGTGGACTTCAAGTGGGAATCTTGAAAAACTGTAAGATATTTGTGCCCTTACCTCTTCCTGGCTGAGAAGTGAGGATTGTATTCCTCAAGTCACAAATAGAGGCCCTTGGAACATCCAGGACCAATTCGTCATGATTCAGATGCTTGAACCTTAAAAGAAAGGTTATGAGAGCAGCAGGTATTAATTAGATCACTGGTTGTGGTAGCACATGCCTGTAATCCCAGCACTCAAGACACTGGGACAGGAGGCATCCTAAGCTAAACAGTAGGACTCTTATCTCAAAACACAAGTGGCTAGGGATATAGCTATGTGGTAGTATACTTACTAGGCCCTGGGTTTGATTCCCAGCACTGACAAAAAAAAAAGATACAGTAGATTTGCCTTGGGGGAATATCCTGTCTTGATGGATTGGTCAATATGAATTGGTCAATATGAAACTATTTTCCTGTGCTACAGCTTTCTGATATGCCTTTCTTCTTTTGGTCTGCATTCCCAGCTCTTGCTAATATAGTAAGATTCTTAAGAGGAAGAAAGGGCAAGACCAAAAGACATTCATCATTTCCCAGTTCAGCTAAAGAGTAGCTCCTGGGTGCTAAGGAGCTCTACCCCAAGTAGTTGTGTGTGGAAGCCGGTGGAGCACTGCTGCACATGCAGAGATGTAATAGAGATGGACTCTGGCCTCCAACAGTCCAAAGTCTAGTTGTTCAGATGATACAATCCATCAGCAAACACTTATTAAGTGTGTGTGCTGGAGCCACTGTGGCTACAGAGCAATGATTAAGCCCCAGCTTCCTAAGGAGTTGGCAGCACATGATTAAATGACCAATACCAAACAATGCAGGAAAGTGTCAGGAACCTCGCAGGGAATATTAGCCATAAGCAAAACACTTAGAAAATGGAGGCCCACTCTCTGTGTCTTAGGAAGGCTTTAGGGGCTGGTGGTCTCAACAAAAGCTTCTGAATCTTAATCTGTTTCTCATGTTCATGAAATCTGCTGGATTCTAGAGTAAGGTTCAAGCCAAGTTTTAATAATGTAAACTTGCAACATTGTGGGGATTCTACGTGTCTGGTCCTTCTCTGACAAAAGCCTCTTGAGCGGACCTCCTCCTCAGCCAGCCTTTGTCACGCTCCTATTTGGTCCCATTGCACCAGCCAGTCACACCCAAAATAGAGAAAGAGCTCTCCTCTGCTGTGTGGCACATTTTTAATAGTGCCACATTGACAATGACGTACTTTTCCCCTTACTTTATAAAAGTACATTTAACTTTTAGAATATCAATAGATTGAAAAGAACAATAAAAAAGTATAAAAACTTCAATAAAAATTCTCCTTCCTACCTTACCTTATATATGTATATCCTGCTTTTTCTCTCCCCAGCCAGTCATTATACAAGAAAACATAATAATTGATTACCCTCCATTTTCACACAAGTTGTGTCAGGTTTGGTGCTTTGCTTTTTTTCACTTAAGAGCGTCTGGGAGATCTTTTGTTGTAGTTTTTGGTCATGAACTCTGGGCCTGGGTGCTGTTCCTGAGCTCTTCAGCTCAAGGTAAGCACTCTACCACTTGAGCCACAGTGCCACTTCTGGTGGTTAATTGGAGATAAGAGTCTCACAGACTTTCTTGCCTGGGCTGACTTTGAATCGAGATCCTCAGATCTTAGCTTCCCTACTAGCTAGGATTACAGGCGTGAGCCACCAGTACCCAACTGGAAGATCTTTCTTCACTGTACACAGAACACATTCTCATCCCTGCCTGCAGGTGAATTGCCCTCCCATGTAAGCATTACCATAATTCTAGGCAACTCCTTGTGGTGGTGATCTGAGTTATTTCCATCTTTCCTATAGCAAATAAAGCCTCAGTAATACATCTATACATGTCATTCTTATATGTAAATACTAGTGACAGCAGTGACACAGTGATTTAGTGGCTTTGAAAGGGAGTCTTTCACAAAGAGATGCATGGGTTGAAAAGATTCCCCTCCTAGCATGTCACAGTTTTCTAATTTGGATAGCTCATGGATTACAGAAACCTGGAGAGCCTGATAAATATGCTTAATAATAGCAGATTAAATCCCTACCCCTAACATTTGTATTATAAATAGACTTCACTTAGAAAGCCTGAATTTTGCTTCTTGTTGGTTTTTCCCAATCATCTAGCTTCAAACCATGTCATTGGTAGCATTTGTCATTTGTATGAAATTGGGCAACTTCATGCACTTTTAGAGCCCATTTTTCCATGGGGTGCTTTCCAGCCCATTTTGAAGCTCAAATGCTACTGTGATCTTGTCTTTCTAGACGGGCTCATCTTCGCTTGTGCCTGGAGAAGTTGAAGGGCTTGGTGCCGCTTGGACCTGAATCCAATCGACATACAACGTTGAGTTTATTAACAAAAGCTAAATTGCACATAAAGGTAAGTGTATTTTGTATGTCTCTTCATCTTGTTTAGTGAGGGTTTGTGTGTTGTTATAAAGAACAAATGTGTATCTCCACAATATTCCTCTCTTTTGAACTTCTTCACCTTGCCTCTTGGATGACCCACAGGCACATCACATGCAACATGTTCAAACCCAACTGTGTATTCTCACACCCAGACACCTGAGAGCAAACGGCCCACCTGGCTCTCTGGGTGCTTACACTTGGAGGCCCTGGGTAGCCTCTGTTCCTCAGACGCTTTCTCTAAGCCGTCTTAATGACCTAAATATTTCACAACCTGCTCTGCTTCCATCTTTACTCCACCCCAGAGGTCTCCTTTCACTCCAATCTGCTCACCATGCTTCCTGAACAATCCTGCCACACTCCAATCAACACGTTCCTCTGTTTTGAACTTTTCTGTGGCTCAGAACAGTCACAGGTCTGCTCCAGCTCTCCCTGACCTGGCTCTCCCTGGCCTCTGTAGCAGCATACATGGGCCATACTCCATGTCTAGCTCCTCCTTAGTTCTCCGTGCTTGTCTAGTTCTCTCTGCACAGGGCCACTGTGCTGTTCCCTCTGCAGCATGCTGTCCCCTCTCTGCTTCACCTCTACACATCCTTCAGATCTCTGTACCGGTCTCACCAGTTCAGAGAAGCCTTTGCTGACCTTCCAGACTCCGCCACCTGTTTCTTGTCACAGTAAACACTTGGTGGTGTTCTACATGACTATGTGGTGTCTCCATTACTAGACTATAGACTATACATGAGGGAAACTCATGAGCGGCTAGCCCAGAGCTGACCCTCAGTATCCAGCATGAACAGCAAAGGGAGAGGTGAGTTGTGTTTGAATTCCTGAGAGCCATAGCCAAAATCACTGTTTAGTTAGGTAAATAGCATTCTAGGGATGGTTAGTAGCCTTCATATATAACAGTTCTGGGAGAAAAAGACCCTCTATTTACAACAAAACAGCTACAGTTAAATACTCTTCTTAATTATCTGAAGAATATGAGAATCTAGGGGGTAGATTTGCAAAAAGAAGACATCTATGGAAATTTGTTTTTGAGCTCTTCTGTTGGATAATTTGGAATCAGGATTTCAAGAGGGACTATTATTTCCTGCTAACAACAGAAGTTAATTGGGATTTGGCCTGACACAAAAAAGTGCTTACGTAATTGGGGCATGTACTTGAATAAACATAATTTTAAAGAGAAGCGTGTTTCCTCAGTTCCCAGTCCATGCAGTTTTCTAGTTCAGAGAGATGATGTGTTTGGGATCACTACAGACCAGGAAACGGGGCTGTGGATTCCTTCCTGCCATCTTTTCAACTCCCAAGATTGAGGGGTACAGATGTCAGAGTATCTGGCTCACCCCCAGTGCCCTGTGAAGCCCCCAGTCACCCGCCATCTAATAAACATCATGGAAACAAGGCTGCCAAGTGACACACCATATGACGTCTGGGGCCAGTGACACATTTCACTGCTAGAAGTGAAACATGGAGGGTCACTGGCAATTTGGAAAGTTCCCTATGGGTTCCAACAACTACCTTTTGACTTGCAGAAACTTGAAGATTGTGACAGAAAAGCCATTCACCAAATAGACCAGCTGCAGCGTGAGCAGCGGCACCTGAAGAGGCAGCTGGAGAAGCTGGGGATCGAGAGGATTCGGATGGACAGCATCGGATCCACGGTCTCCTCGGAGCGCTCCGACTCCGACAGGGGTGAGTCCCCCTCCCCCCTTCCAGCCACGCATGCGCCCAAAGGGAGCACCGAGGTTCGCAGCCGGAGTTCTTCGTAGGATGCCCCACCCATGTGTGTCTGTCTCTCTCATCCCCCCCACAGAAGAAATCGACGTGGACGTGGAAAGCACAGACTGCCTCCCAGGGGACCTGGACTGGAGCTGCGGCAGCGTGAGTGACTCTGACGAGCGGGGCAGCATGCAGAGCCTCGGGAGCGACGAGGGTTACTCCAGCTCCGGCATCAAGAGAATAAAGCTCCAGGACAGTCGCAAGACATGTCTCGGGCTATAGGAGACAGTCACCCTAGCTGCCGCCCTGCTGGTTGTCCCGATGGATCTGATTAGGTAGCGTATGGGACCTACCCATGATACTCTTGCACGCAAACTTCAGTGTACCACCTTTACCAAATCAGCTTTGTCAAAGTTTTTGAGGAAGTTCGTAGGATTGGGTTTCTGATTGCATCTACTAGCCTCTGTATGTGTGTGTCTCTCAAAATTTGTCTCTACGAGACTGTACATTCCAATCAATTCGAAGCATCCAAGAATTCTTAGACTGAATGAGCAATTTTCACATCTCAGCAGCACCCCCCCACACACACACACCCCTCTTCTTTACTGTCTTCATGTAGTTGACCAGACCGTTCTCAGTTTTCTGGCATACTGTTACTTTCCTAGGAGAAATGTCCAAATGTGACTTGTGCTTAGGAAACTAAACTGAGGGAAATGATCTTTGGAAGCTGAGATCGGGATCTCAGAACTCAGAAGTAAGCTTTGAAAGTGAAATTGAAGAGCACTTAGTCCCAGCCCTGGCCCTGTGAGGAAGTGGGGACGCCTCCTGGAAATGCCCTCCAGGCACAGCCCAGGCCAATTCCCCACTCACCCACCACATGTGGAGAGAGCAGTCCTCACTTTAAAACAAACACCTTGACAGCGTGTCTCTGGGATTGCACAATTTAGGGAAGTTCCAACATTGTTTCTTCTCGCAAACAAAACGGTACAATCTGTGTGTGTGGGTCTTGGGAACTTGCTGTCATCTGCTGTCTCAAGGCACATTTCCCCCTCCAAGTTTGGTAATGCTACTTGTCTCTGGAACATTTTTTTTCCTACCTCAGAGATAAATGAGATCTCCATTTCCCACTTAACAAAAGTGATTATGCCGCCTTCTTTTTTTTCTTTTTTCTTTTTCCCCAAATAAGTGACATTTGGTCCAAGTCTAATCTATTTTCTTATTTAACTTTCAGCAATAACTGAGCATTGGCACTAGCTGAGCTGGTAGCCATCATCAGTGAAAGAAAAAGTCCACATTTCTACTGTCTGTGGTGCAGGTGAACAGGAGGGATTCCGTATGAGAATTCCTCTCTGGGCTGATTATTTTTTGATTCACCAAGAAACTTCTTTATGGAGTCTTTTGGGTTGATAGTTTAAAAGGCTGATTTTTTTTCTCTCTGGTTATGACTTCTCCTGTAAGTGGTCTCCCACTTTGTAGCATTTTTATTTAAGCTAAAAACAGAGCACATGTATATGTACATAAAACACATGAAATCTATAAATACTATTTATTCATTTTATATAAACTAATGTAATGGAAAATAAATTCTTATGACTTTGTGCTTTTATAGATGTTCTAGCCACTTTGTATGTAGGTAGCTACAAAATTGGTTCATTCCCCATAATATTTTTGCATTCATCTTTTTGAGGGCTTGATATTGTCAAGCCTCTGGTGAATCCTTTTCATTGAATCGGAACCATTTGTAAAATCTGTGACGCTGAAGTAGAGCATGTGTCACAAAACAATAGAACATTCTTAAAATCCAAGGCGCACTGCAACTGAAGGGCTCCACGCTGGCTCGCGGTGGGCACCCACCCTGGGCCCCCACTGTGCTGTGGTCACGGGCACACCTCAGCCTTGCACGACGTCAAGCACCTCCACCTTCAAGTTCAAACATAGTCTGCGCTGCAGTTCATCTGATATATGAAGAGCAGTCTACACAAAGCAAGATCTTTTCATGTTTGTTTTTTTTAAATGATTCCTTAATGTATTAAAAAAAAAAAAGATTTAATTGGAAGTAGCAGATTCCTCAGTGATTCCAAAGTCATCTATCACACTTCTGGATTCCCCCCACTCCCTTCATTTTGACTTTGGTTGGTGGGAGGGGCAGGTGACAAAGGAATTTTTTTAATTGTTGGAATCTTTTCCAATTACCAGCTGAAGATTTGCACTGAAATACAACTTGTATGCCTTTTGCATTTTTAAAAATCTGCTTCCTGAATTTAAGCAGAGGGATAGTGTTCAAAGAGCCAGCTCAGCCTGTAACATGTCTGAAGAAGATATGCCTGCACTTTGAGGTCCCTTTCGAATGCCATTCGTAAGACCTCTCAAGCATTTTGTTTAATTGCTACATCTAAGCGCCTCACAAGTCCACGATGCTAGATGCCACCTGGCATCAAAAACTCAAGACTTTGGAAAAAGCTTGTGGGCTTACATTGGGGGGGAGGGTGGGAAGGGAACAAAATTTGTGTACTTGTTTGTTTGATTTACAAATAAGGCATCTGAGAGATGCCATTATTTTCTGTGTTTTAAATGTTGTGCCTTTTGAGTTTAAACTGCATTTTTTTGGTCTTTTTGGTTGAAATATGAAATGTACTGTCCCAATATAAAAACAGTAATTATTTGACCTTTGCACTGTTTGTCTGGTCCTTTTCAATTTGATTGCATCTAAATGTGGAACTTGATCTCTCTATTTTTAATGCACTTGTGATAAACTGACACCAGGGTTAGTTAGACTTTACTTTCAAAGCTCAAGGTAGACCAACTCAGCACGCTAGACAGCTTCTCTCTAACCAAAACTAACCTTTGGGACCAGCAGACTCAGCCCTAGGCAGCTAATCCTCTTCCCCTCATGGCTGAACAGCAGCCCTGATTTTGCCAATCTGTCCTTTCTCATTCACTGATCCACCAGCAGGACTGCTAAGAGTGTGTCTTTTTGTTTTGGTTTTTCTTAAGCAAAATGAAAAAAAAAATCTATTAAGATTCTTGAGTGGGGGGAGGGCATGGGCAAAGATAGAAACCCCAGCCATTAGAACTTTGACGGTTATACATAAATATAGATGTGTACAAACATAGGCACATGCATATTTTTATGTGAAAGTTCTTTTAAAAAAAATTAAAATCTAAACCAAGCTTATTGGTACTATCATAATGCAAATGGAAAAATAAGAGTATGTCATCCAATTTAATTTCATGCCATGAGGAACAAATAATAGATATATATGTGCTTCTGTTATCATCCTCCAAAAACACAGCTTTCCATCCCTGGTCAGCTTTGAATGGCCCGCTGAATAGCCAGGATGTTTGAAGTTGTTCTTTTGCTAAGCAGAGATCTTGAATTCTTCAAGGTACTCATAGCAACAGTTTTGGCTCCTTTCTCTACTCACAGACCTAATTTAGCTAGTTTAGTCATTCCTAGAGCTTCACAGTATTGAGCAGGACTTAGACCCTTCCTGTCACCACAAGACTGAAACACTTCCAGTTTCAGTTCAGAGTTGAGCATTGCATAGACTCTGACTCTGCACTGGGTCACTTAAGTGTTGTTTTGGTTTTGGTTTTAAAGCAAGAATTTTTCCTTTTTTTTTTTTTTTTTTTGTAAGCAGGGTCTTGTTCTAAATCCCATATTTTTTCTCTTTTCATTAAAAGCAAAAGTCCCTCCTGGGTTTTCTATCAGCCTCTCTTTCCCTCTTTTTTGATGTGGCCAAGAGTAAATTCTGGAGTCTGAGACAAACTTGTAAACTAGGTGGGAGGTGATGCTCAAAATAACCTTATAGCAATATCTTAGGACTTAATAATGGATTTTTGTGGACTTTTTTCCTCTTGCCTTCCTCCCTATTCCTTAAAGAGAGAACTTATTTTTGAAAAGAATATATGCATATATATACAGATTAGCTAGATATGCACATTACTATTTAGAGTTTTTTATACCATACTGTATTGGCAAGAATATCATTTTCATTGTGCTGTATAATTTATTCCTCCCAAATCTTGGGTCTTTACTTGTGTCTCCAGTGTTGTCTTCCCTCCTTACCATCCCTGTGTGTTGAACACCAGGTAGTGGGTGTCAGTCTCCTGCATGTCAATCTTACTTTTCTACGTTTGATTCTTTGATATGGCATGTTTCAGTAGCTGGCTACTCGTGACTTCAAAACCCCTTCCTGGGAGAAGACAGCCAGCCCAAAGACCTCTTTTAAAGGAGGTGTCTCATTCTACATAGCCAGTCTCTGTAGATTGTGGGTGTTCTCAAAGATCCTGGATTAGGGGTGGGTGCAATATTTGATTTATCATGATTTATCAATATTACCTGGATGATTTCCTTTTACTATATTCTTCTGGAAGAAGAAATAGTTGACTGGCATGGCTAGATTCAGCTATTGAATGGCTGAAGAAATTGAGTATGTTTTTCTTTCTCTCAAAATCATAACATGAAAATTAGGAAGGCACCCAAGTGTTAAATAATCTAGATTTTAAATTTTGACTTCTTATTCTGAGGATGACAGATGAAAGGGGGTCATTCTTTATTTTGGCTTTTATCTGAGGACTAAACTTGCCTCTACCCCTAAAATCCCAAGAATTGGTGCTTTTGGAATATTTCTGTTATCCATCAACTGGGGGGGGGGGGGGCTGGGGGGACATCTTCCTAAAGGTAAACACAGCCTAGGCAGGAGAGCAGCAGATGAAAGAATAGGAAATTCTGTTTCCAGATGTTTATTTCTTTATGTAAATACAATGCCAATGTAAATCCTGTGTCAAGACCATAGAGAATGGTGCTTTTTACTACAGTTAGCACATGCATTTTTAGAAACTATTACGTGTTTTAGAGAACCTTTGCTGTGTATATGTAAACTTCTGTATTGTTCAACCGTTAACAAATAATAAATTATTTCATTATGAAAGCAATATTGGTCTTCCTGATATTTGCATCCAAGTTTACCCTTTCCTGCTTGCTTGTTTGTGCCAGTACCGGGGCTTGAACTCAAGGCCTTATACTCACTGGGCCTTTTCTGCTCAAGGCTGGCATCCTACCACTCAAAGCACAGCTCTGGTTCCAGTTTTTTGGATTGGAGTTTCATGGACTTGAATGCCCAGGCTAGCTTCAAGCCATGCTCCTCAGATTTCAGCCTCCTAAATAACAAGGATTATAGGTGTGAGCCACCAGAACTTGGCCCTTTCCTGGTTTATATTTAAAAGACTGAGTTAGACAAATTTCCTTTTGTAAAAATTGTGGCAAATTCATTGGGTCAAGGTTTTCAACCCTTGGATGAAATGAGATGTCTGTGACAAGGGTTTCAGGTGGCCTCACTTGAGCCATTTATTCATTAGGATTAGTCACAGTACCTCGCTTGTCAGCGGCCATGTCCCCACCCCCCATTCCACCTGCTAATTCACTTGTTCGTCATGACAGTAATCTCTGATGACACAGGCAGCATTTAGGAGTTACAGGGACAACTAAGAATCTCCATCTTTTTTCTTTCTTTCTTTCTTTTTTGGTTGGTTGTGGGGCCTGGTTGCTGTCCCTCAGCTCTTCAGCTCAAGGCAAGTTGCTCTACCACTTGAGCCACAGCACCACTTCCGGTTTTCTGGTAGTTGAGATAAGAGTCTCACGGACTTTCTTGCCTGGGCTGGCTTTGAACCGTGATTCTCAGCCTCCTGACAAGCTAGGATTACAGGTGTGAGCCACCAGCGCCCAAGATGAATCTCCATCTTTTGAGCAGTCTAAAAATAAGCCCACGGTTTTAATGTATTTCAGTCATTTGTGGGATAGAGTTGTGCAGGAAAATTCCTTGGGGAAACCACTGAAATGGTACATGGGGGCTGCACCCTGGAGAGAGCAGGCATTTGCCAGCCCAGCAGGGTGGGGAGTGGCCTGGAGGGGGGATGCCATGGGAAAGACCTCAACTGACAGGCAGTTTATGGACAGGAGAAAGAACCTGGCTTCTAATGTTAGTTCTTTATACATGCTCACATCTTTGGTTAACTTCGTTTTTAACAAACAGATTGAAACTCTGTGTCTGGCTCAGTCAGAATTGGGAGACATTAATAAAATGTACAGCCAGCCCTCACGAGCTGCCTTTCTAGTAAACCGAACTTTCAGACTCGTCATATCTTAGCACCAATGCTAGGAGCAACAGCGTTCTTGCTCCCCCAGGAATGTATTTGTTCCAGGTCACGGAGAAGGAAAAATGGATCCTATTTTCTTCTTGACCAGTGATACCTTTATTTTTGTGTCCAGGAGTCCATGGCAGCATGCATGCTAGGCTACTGCTATACCTCTAGCTCTTAATGGTGGCTGGTTTGTTTTGTCCCATGTTGGCTTCAATCCTTCAGCCTCAGCCTCTTTGGCCTTGGAGTCCCTGAGATGATGTGCCTGGCTTGACCAATGACTTTTTTTTCTTTTTCCTTTTCACTTAGATAAATATTTTATATGGTCAAAAGATCAATGACTTCTTATTCTAAAAACTACCAAAGAGTTTTTTTCAAAGAGTTTTATGGGGCCTTAGAAATTAGCTGTAAGAGCAGAAAACCTACAGATCTTAAGAAACAGGGGCTTTCAACATTGCAAAAGTGGTCTGGCTCATCTCTTAAAAGCATGGGCAAGAATGTATTCTAGGCCCTTCTAGAACGTGTGCTTCTAGGATGCATCTGTGTGAACAGGTTCCAAATAGAACCCAGAAAGCGCTCAGTTGTCAGCCAGAACTATCTTCTACCAAGGCATCAGGGCCCCTTGTTTACTGTGGCTGAGGACAGGAAGCTTTCATCTGGAGATAATTATGCACACAACTTTCACATAAAGATAGCCTCAGCCACAAGATGACAAATCTTATTTCCAAGACTTCTTGACTTTCTTTGTTCCCAGGGGCCTGATGAAAACATGGCTCCATCATGGTTATGGCTAGTTCACTTCTACTGAGGGCTCCTTAGGAGCTGGAGTTTCCCTGTAGCAGCCTAATCTTCACAACTATGCTGCGAGGTCATCACTATGTGTGTGTGTGTGTGTGTGTGTGTGTGTGTGTGTGTGTGTTGGACCTGGGGCTTGAACTCAGGAACTCAGGGCCTAGGCACTGTCCCTTAGCTTTTTTTTTTTTTGCCAAAAGTTAGCACTCTATCACTTGAGCCATACCTTTACTTCTGGATTTTCTGGTGGTTAACTGGAGGTAAAGAGTCTCATGGTCTGACCCATCTGACTTCAAACCGTAATTCTCAGATCTCAGCCTACTGAGTAACTAGGATTACAGACGTGAGCCACCTGCCCCTGGACCCTCCCCTCTTTACACAGGAGGAAACTGTGGGAGACATTTGCCCCAAGTCGGCAAGGCTGATGAGGAGTGGGAACCTTGGCCATCTGGCTGGAACCTCGCATTCCCTTGCCCTAGGTTTTATATGAGCTATGTCAAATTGTCATCAGTTTCCCATGTATGGCATCTTTTCCTCTTGGAGTCTGAGCAAGGCAATTTTTGGAGCAGGGGTGGGACATAGGCTCCACTCAGTGTAGCAGAATATCAGGACCCCTGCCCCCTTGTTTATGGGTTGTCACCACTAAGCCATTGCCCTCCTCTATGGTGAAGGAACCCCATGCTGATCCCGGGTGGGCCAAAAGCAAAGGGAGTCAATATGTTCTTAGAGCAAAACACAAAACAAAACAAAAAACCCATCATATCTTTAGTGGCCTCGTGCTTATTTACTCAACCACTATTTACTATATACAACTTCCACTTGGCCTTGGAGTCTCCATTATCAAGTCAAGCCATCTTGATCTCCCTCTTAGATGTCACTGTAACCTTGAGAACAGGAAAAGGCCCTCTGCTAACAGATTCTGGAAGGCTGCCCTTTTCCCATTGCCCTTTGTCCTTTCCATTATACCAGACATCCAGCCTACAATGAATGGCCAGGGGCCCAAAAGCAGAGGCTCCATGGGAAACATTTGCTACAGAGTGGAATACAAATTCATGGTAAGTCACCTCGATGGCCACTCCGTGTCCACACAGAATCCGGTGTCACTGCATTTTGGGATGTTTAGGGAGACTGAACAAGGTAGGTGAGGCTACTGGCTGTTGGCCAGAGGTTAAAAAAAAAAGAATGAGCAGCTCAGTGATGTTGAGACAGGTTCTGCCTTAGTGGGGCTTCCAGAATCCTCCTCTAATGTGAGTGAAAGCAGCATCCCTGGGAAGACAAGCTCAGGATTTAGTGGGACATTGGGCTATCCAATCCAAAGGGAAGTCTGAGGCAAGAGCTGGTGCAAAAGCAATGGGGTGTAAACATGAGGCCAACTCTGAGCTGCAAGACTGGAGATGGAGGAGGTGGAGGTAGAAAGACCTACCGAGGCCTTAGAGGAAGGAGAGGAAGTGCCTTTTGTAGGCTTTGGCCTCCCATTAGGCAGAGGGGTGGACAGCAATAAATGTCAGGAATAAATCCATCTTCAAGGAAATCTGAGGGTCTGGGGGAGAAGACACTGGGAAGGCCTAGGAAACAGGGGGAAAGGAGAAAGGCACTGGCCCTACCAAGCCTGTTGTTCACCACAATGATCAGGCTGGGCGACATGAGAAGGCTGCCCCAACCCTCGGGGGTCCAGAAGGAGTGAGGGGCCCAACATGAATCTAGAAAGTTCATTTAGTTAAAAACAGAGCCGGGTGCCAGTGGTCCACACCTGTAATCCCAGCTACTCAGGAGGCTGAGATCTGAGGATCGAGGTTCAAAGCCAGCCTGAGCAGGAAAGGCTGTGAGACTCCTATCGCCAATAAATTACTCAGAAAACCAGAAGTGGTGCTGTGGCTTAAGTGATAGAGCACTAGCCTTTAGCTGAAGAGCTGAGGGACAGCACCCAGGCCCAGAGTTCAAGCCCCATAATTGACTGACCAAAAACAAACAAAAACCCCAGAACCTGAGGACTCTGGGTATTCCTACACTGTGAGACCAACGGAGGATACTCATAGGAGAGCAACACAAGGTGCAATGCCTATGTGCATCTGATCATACAAAATATTTATAAAAATAAACTCCAAGACATGGAGCTGTTTTCATTTTCTTTTCTTTGTGTCTTGTTTGCTTCTTTCTATGTCTTTTGGGAGAGTAAAGGTTGGGGACATAGAAATGGAGGGGCAAAGATGCCAGCCATGGTACTCACTGGACACTATGCTGAGAGTGAACTATACAACGTATGGGTAGGGATGGGAGGGCAAAACTGGGAGAGAGTGAGGGAAGAGGTAACAAGGTCCAAAAAGAAAGCTACTCATTACCAGACTTATATAACTATAACCTCTCTGTACATTACCTTTGTAATAACAATTTAAAAAAAACCCACCAGAACCTGACAAACTCTCATCTTGTCTGTTCACTCACAGCCCTGGAAGGTAGACGATGTTATTATCTGAAGCACTGAATCAAATTCTGACTGAAGAGGTAAATGCCTTGGCCAAGTGGATCAAGAGCCCCTCAGGCAGCCATGTCCCCCTCTCCACCCCAAAAGCTGGTCATTAATCATAGTCACATGCATAGACTGCTCAGAAGGCTCTGAGAACTCATGCTCACGTCACCCTTTACAACGTCTGGGTATTGCAGAGGAAGTGTCTGGAACTCTAGATTGAGATCTGAGAAGTGAGGATACTGATAGTGCCCGCCTCTCGGGCAGCTGGAGGATGACATTAGTGTGCAGGCACGTATCTTGGTCAGGGAGAAAGCATTGCACACTGGGAAGTCATTGGGATACTTTTCCTAGCCTAGCCAAGGCCAGAAGTTTGAACAGCCAAGCAAGTGTGTGTGTGTGTGTGTGTGTGTGTGTGTGTGTGTGTGTGTTGGGGATGGAACCTGGAACCAGAACCTCACACGTGCTAGACAAGCACTGTACCACTGAATTTCATCCCCAGTCTACCTGGATTTTCAGAGCCCTAAACTCTAACCTCAGA